GCACGCACGTGTACGTGCACATGCACGCACGCACGCACGCACACACGCACGTGCACGTGCACACACACGGACGCACGCACGCACGAACGTGTACGTGCAAACGCGCGCACGCACGCACGTGTACGTGCACATGCACGCACGCACGCATGTGCGCACATGTATGTGCACACGCACGCACTCACGCATGCACGCACGTGTACGTGCACACGCACGCACTCACGCATGCACGCACGTGTACGTGCACACGCACGCACTCACGCATGCACGCACGTGTACGTGCACACGCATGCACGTACGTACGCACGTGTACGCACGCACGCACGCACGCACGCACGCACGTGTACTTGCACACGCACGCACGCATGCACGAATGAACGTGTACCTGCCCGCGCGCGCACGCACGTGTACGTGCACATGCACGCACGCATGCACGCACGCACGCACTCACGCATGCACGCACGTGTACGTGCACACGCACGCACGCACGTATACGTGCACACGCACACACGCACGCACGCACGTATACGTGCACACGCACGCACACACGCACGCACGCCCGCACACACACGCACGTTTACATACACACGCGCGCACGCATGCATAATAAATCAGTACTAATCGCTATCGGGTGTTGTCGTGTAGACGCTACATAATCGCTAACTCGAGTTAGCTTAACTCGAGTTAAGGTTCGTCGTGTAGACGCTACATAATCGCTAACTCGAGTTAGCTTAACTCGAGTTAAGGTTCGTCGTGTAGACGAGGCTTATATGTCGTTTATAAGATATTACAATCCTTTTGCTTTTAAATTAATAAATAAGAAACACCCTCGGTCTGTAGCCCTTGGCTGAAAAGTCGTTTTGCGCAACTTATCAGATTGTGCGCTTTGAGTGGCGCCACCGTCGTTGTAATCAAAATGTAGTCGTTAGTTTTAAAACATTTTTTAATAATATTTCTAATGGCGATTGAACCATGAAACTTTTTATGTAGCGTAATTTTAACCTAAATTAACTGAAAATAACCCTAGAACCTAGAGTAAACGATCCCTTTAAACAATGAAGTTAGAGACATGATCTAACCAGCCTGTCACGGTATTCATTATGCAAGTATCTATCAACCTTAACCCTTCTACAGCTGTCAACTTCCAGTAATAGTTGAAGTTACCGCTCGGTAATAAAAACATGTATATACCTTGTTGCCACGGCCAGGTTATGAGCATATATGTATAAATGGAGAATTCTCTGTCATTACAACTGGAAATAATTCAATTTTACACTCGTTTTAATGGTGACACATTGCTTTAAAAACCGTGCGTCAGGGTTGGATAACAAGTGCTGTCTTTTATTAGCTCATCTGACATAGTCAGATGCAGCTTGTAGAATCGCATGATCGTCCGTCCGTCCGTCCGTCGGCAACAGTTGGGCACAAATCTAAAACGGCTCGACGGTAATGGTCACGATATTCGGGACGTTGGGGGGGTAATCGAAAACGAGTTGGGATGTCGAAGCTGGGGGTCAAAGGTCAAAGGTCAAGAGGTGTAAAAGGAAGGGGAAATTCCTCCCTTAACTTAAGGTATAGCGGAGAAATGCAGAATTGCGGCACAAATATAAACGGCTCGACCTAGGCTCGTGATAGTCGGTGTATAGCATCATGGTAGGAAAAGCCATGCACTGTGCCAAAATTGGAGGTCACAGGTCAAAGGTCAATGGGCACAGGGCAAGATTTATGACATTTTCTGAGGACATGGTCTGACGGAGCGATTGAAAAAACTTTTTTGTTTCAGCGGTGACCTAGCATTTTTATGGCATTATTGAAAGGACCATGAAATCTACTTTTTGCTGACATGTGTGAAGAGATAAAGTGTCAGATAACCTTTGACCCTCAAGAGGAGGGTTAAAACATAGGATTTGTTGACTGTCTGTTAGAAAGAATTTGACTGCCGGGTTTGCTAGTAGAATCTATACATGCCTGGATGTATGAGGCTACAATGTCACAGTGAAATTTCAAAAGCCTAAATTTGGTTAAAGAAGGTTTATGCTGCTTAAATCGTATAATTTCTATGGCATTCTGTACTGTCAGTATGTTACATGTACCGTATGCCACTGCCAGTGGCTACTGCCAGTGCATTGTGTTGGTGGTACTGTGTAGTTTTTTTGCCTGCGTTAATTGGTTACAGGTGGCAGCTCTCTATTCGCAGCCTGTAGGCCTTGCGTAGGTAAATGGATGAGTGCTTACTATTCTGTCTTGCAAATAGTTGTTGGCTACTACGTACGACGGGAGCTTCCATCTTAATCTGAAGACACTTAACACGTACGCCCATCTCGTGCAACTTTCATAACGATCCAACGAACATTCCTTTGAGAAGGTTCCTGATACCATCCCTGTGCATTCCACTGTTTCGGCGTGTATGTGAAACACATTTGGGGACTAAACAGCGTTTACTAGAATCTCACCACTCCACCACAGATGTCACCGCAGTAAGACGTTAGATGAGCGCTGTCGCTCCGCGGCACTTGTTTAAATTATATATGTTCTTTATTTACATAAATTTGGAATCCGATCATACGACTTAAATTTAGGCATTTATAGTGATTACATCACGAAATTTAGTATAAAAGTAAAAAACATGTCAACTTTTTCACAAAATGTAAGTGATTCTGTTCACTTTTTGACGGAAACCATCACACCAGCGCGAAATTGGGAGGTCACAGGTCAAAGTGGCAGGGGTGGGGAAAGGCAGATATCAGACATTTGCTGAGACATTGGCTCTAACGGACAGAGTGAAAACTTTTTGTTTCAGCGGCTGACGCTACCAACTTTTTATTCACTTTATTTAAGAACCATTGAAAATTTGCTTTCGCGCTTGACGTGGTTGAAGAGTAAGTGTCTGATAACCTTTTGACCCTCAGAGGAGGGGTAAACATGGATTTTGTGTACTGTTAACAAAGACATAAACTGCTTTTGCTATAGAGGCCCCTCCAATCCTGCCCCCTCCCCCTCTCCCCCCCCTCCCCCGCCCGCAAATAAAAAATTCAAAATTTGTGTTATCACATAATTAGGTGCCAGAAATTGCATGAATTCTTTCAGCTTGAGCATATGGATGCATCTCATCTATAAATAAAACGTGTGATTGATTCCGATTCGTCGGTCAATAGACGTTTACTCTCCATAATTAGAGCAAAACCCGTGCAAAGGCTCGAGTGTACCTTTAATTAATAAACTCGTAGTGTATTCGTGATGGTCAAAACTTGTTTTAGCCTGCAGGCCCTGGAAAGTATGTGTTTGAAGTTGGGTGTGAGCAACATGGAGATTACATAGTGGAACATTCCAAGGTAAGTGTTATTATAAAATATCACAGCTGACATATCATTGGATTATCAGCCTAATTTTATGTGCATGATCAATGCATCGAGCTCTATAGTTTAATCATTATTATCCATCGTCTGTCTGTCTGGAATATAAGGTTGAAGCGTTCCAAGTAACAATACCTAAAACAAGCCCATGCAAGTTCCTGCAGCTATATATATGTAGCGGTTAGTATATTGTTATGTAGTTGTACCGTTTATAGTTTTATTTCACGATAGATGGTGCTGGCGTGCGTGTTGTTACGAGAGAAAGTGACGCGAGGGCGGAGAAAGGAGAGATGCTTTTGTGAATTGACGGATGTTTTTTGGGAAACAACAAGTTGTAATTACATCTAGAGTTTTGTGTTTTACTGGAAATACTTGCGTGAGCGTTCGACAACAACAAGTCAGGGGCCTGAACCTCGAGGACTGGTATTTATACTGATAACACACTTAACTACTGGTAACATTTGGCGCCCAACGTGGGGCCCCTGACTAGAGTAACAGCATGTCGAACGCGGAACAGGATGCCGCTGTTGGCGGTACAGGAACAGCAAGTCCCGCGCCCTCCTCTGTACAACCTACCATGGACCTGCGACGTGTGGTGGAGACTCAGCAGGAACAGATCAAAATGCTAACGCTGTAACGCAGAGTTTTACGTTACGGTATAGTTGTATATTGTGATGTCGTATTCGTAGCCAAAAGACATAGACAAGAGTAAGGTCAGAGAATATATACCATGACTAGTTGTTTAATTGAGGTAGACTATTGCTTGACATACACAGGCGGTCGTGTCCAGAGTTAGAGGAGCATTCCTAGATTCTGCTTGTGCAGCAGTTTTTATAGGCGCCACCACGCGCGCGGTGCATGCTCACCCACGCGCCGCGCGCGCCAACCACCGCGTCCGTCTCATCCGCGTTCGCTTGGCTTCCGCTTGGCTTCACCACCTTCGTCCTGGACGGTGGCGGCTCCTAACGGGAAGACCCGCTATTCTGCAGCACCACCGTCCCGGGGGTGGCGCCGTTTATTCGCACGAACGCGTCACGCGCGCTTAACATGGCTGCCGCCCCGAGCGTTGATAGCTTTTCACGCTGTGTTTAGCGCATCTAATCCAGCTAATCCCACCACCCGGTGACACTCCACGGTTGAGCGGTTCTAAAGTCGCATCGCGTTAGCCGCGGGGCGTCACCGGGTCTCACCTCCATGCTAGGGCTGGCACCACTAACCACGGCACGTACGCGCCGCTTATTTGGGAGGGTGGAGTTAATCCCTAACCAGCCGGCGTGGGTGCCAGTGACATAGCGGTACTCCAGCAGCATGTCGCGGCGTCGGCGGGCCGCCATCTTTGACTGCTCAGCTCGCTCGGCCAGCAGGCCGTATTGATCGTGCGTGGTTGCTAGGGGCAACGCCGTAAAATGTGGTAGCGACGCGGGCTCGCCGCGTCACGTGCGAGGGGGGGGGGAGTGCCTTGTAACATGGTTGTTACACTTCTCCCCCCACTAAACCGATGTCCACCCTGTGGACATTGAATGCCAGCCTCTTGGCTGGTCGTCCACAGGAGGGCGGGCGGTCGACGTCGTGGCATTGTAATATTAGTGTACAATCGATATTAATCCGTGATATAATAATTCATAGTAATACAATATGACGCACATTACCACACAATATAATAACACATAATAACACAATAACACATTGATGCCCTATGGTTTATAGAACTGCTCGTCTGCCGCTTGTCCTGAAGGGACCTACTCGTCCAAGAGATTATTGTTCACATTGACATCCTTCAGCGTTCGCCCTCCTCGTGTCCACCCTTCTCCTCGTGTTCGTTGGGGTCGGTGGGTGCTCACGACATAGCGGCCAAGATGGCCGCTGCGGCTATCTGGCGTATATGTTCTGGGCGGAATGTCGTTTGTGTCGGGTTGTCCTCCCCGCCGACGACAAACTCGTACATGGTGGGGTCGGCGTTTGTGCCCGACCCGACGAGATGGCCGACGTAATATCGGTCGGGGCGCTGGGGTGCGGTGTTCCACGGATCGTCGTCGGAGTCGTATTCGTCTTTGTCGGTGGAGCTTCCGGTGGTGTCCGGCTCCGGGTAGGGGTAGGGGTTGCGCGGCCTTGCCATGCCGTTGATGCGGGCCTGCGGCGGGGCGGGGAGCACGTGTTCTCCCGGCCCTGCGGCGCAGACTTCGCATCCGCAGGCGGCGCTGGCGCCTGCGGCGTATATGCTGGCGGCCGTGGCGCAGGCGGGGCAGGCGCAGGCGGAGGTGCCGAGGGCGCAGATGGCACAGGCGCAGTCGGCGTAGGCGCAGGCGGTGTTGGCGCCCGTCTGCAACGGCGGCGACGGCGCTGACGGTTGCGGTCCACTGGGCTGTTGCCAGTCTTGACCGTTGTTAGCGGAGTCCTGGCAATGTTAAAGTGGCATGATAATACGTGGCACAGTATCATAGCCGGGACAGTATATAACCTGACTGCCCGTCAGTGCCATAGCGGCGCTTGAGAAATTATAAAACGCGGTCGCGTATAAGCCGCGGAATACGCAAAGTTACAAATAGGCTGCTTTGAACGGCGTCTCACAATTATATGCGTTTAAATGAAGCGCGTGTTACCTATAGTGCGCTTTACGAACATGCTAATACGATTATCTTTAGTAACTAATTAACACGACTAGTGCTAGCGGTGCACTCGCTGCACGTCGTCGGGGTTGTAAAACTATCCTTAAGCCGGTAGTAATTAACTAATGGGCCACTCATAAGGTGCTAGGGTGCATAATAGAATGGCGCCAATCGAATAACCGTAGCCTCACATCCGTGATTAAACTAGACGGCGCGAGGTGGTGCGATTGGGCAGGGGGCTGGTGTGGGCATAGAACGGCGCGCTGGGCGGGGCCGTAGAGAGATATGGCGGTGCAGTATGGGAGTGAGTATGGAATCCTTAGGGGTTGGGGAGGTGGGGGTCGTGTCGGAAAGTATTTGTGTGATATTTGCATTAGGAGGGGATTGAACCATTACAGAGGTGGGTGGTGGGGTATTGGCAAGGAGGGTCAGGCCTGGAAAGCCATTGGATGGGTCATTGGACTGGAAGGTGGGTGTTATAGGGTCGAAGGAGCCCATTCGTAGTTGAGGCTCAAGAATTGTTAGTGGCATGCCGAAAAATAGCGAACGAGGTCTGGTCGGGGTGGGGGTGGGTGGGTAACTCTCTATTCGTGTACGTCTGAGGGGTGGTGGGGAGAGGTCGGCTGCTCTGGGTTGGGGCTGGTGCTCAGGGCTGTGAGGGCGGCGGCAGCGACAGCAGTAGCAATATGTGGCAATGACTGCAACGGTATGCAACAGGGATGTGAGGGCGACATACATTACCAAATGATGCGTGGCACCCGCGATATCTAGACTGCCTACCTCGGCATATGCCGGGGCGGTTGATGGCAGGCGCTTACTATGCTTGACAGCAGTAACTAAATCGGCATATGCGACATCAAGGTCAGTATGTGCATATGAACTAGGAGGTACTACTTCTGGTGGGATTAGGTCTTCCGAGTCAGCGGTGGACAGACGTTTCGCATCATACATACGGTTTCCGAGAAATACTGGCGGTGTCAAAATTTGATACATTTGAAACGTCATCTCATTGTAGGTTAAGGGTAAGAACGCGATTACGTGGAGTCTCATGTCCACAGGGACCACTATAGCCTCTATAAGATTGTAGTAATAAAACAAGTCAGCAGGGGGGCTGTGTGGCATAGCCAATGTAGGGGGCAACGAGCTTTGGATAGTAAGTAATACTTGACGCAACTGATGGGGGGGGGGTAAGAGTGTAGAGGGCAAACGGTCCGTTAACAAAACGGAGACGGCGTGTACCGTAGTGTCAAGTATGGTTTGAACATTATCAAATGCTAGAGTCAAACTAGAAAGGGATAACTGGAGGTGTGTAATCGCAATGAACTCCCGTGCCACCGATGCCTGGAAGGCCGTTACTGTAAACATTAGTGTGCGCACACTTGAGGTTAAGTCACAAGCATGGGAAATCACATGTGACAGCACCTCCGTATTCATCTCTGTTTGAATGCGAGTGTAATTTATAACGGTTAGTGATTCGTCGATTACTGTCAAAATTTGTTCTTGTGTCGTACCTAATGCGGACAACTGGCGTTGCAGTTGCTCAATGTCATCGTCAGTAGCTGTTCCGAATAAAAATTTGGTAATTTTACCAAGACCACTAACTATAGCGCGTTTCTCCCTTGAATTATGCAATGAGTGCAAGTCTGTCAGATGGAGGTTAAGTGATTTTAGACGTTGGCGGAACCACGCCATGTGGGCTTGCACGAGGGATCTGATGTCACGGTTTAAAGCCGCGAAGTATTGATCGTTGTGGGATGGGGATGGGGAGTGCGGTGCTGCTGCTGGCTGTTGTCTATACATCTTGCGCACATCCTTGTGCAACGAACGTAGATAAGTGTTGATCGAAGAGAAGTTGAAAGTGAATCCTATGCCCCAGGTACTCTGTGTGACCGAGATGTGACCTCTCGGGATAAAGACCACTCCCATCGTGGGTCTTCGGACCTCAGTAGCTTGCGAGGCGGATAGGATCGCCGAGGCAACTACGAGCAGGGCGAGGGACATCGTCCTGAAACAGAGGAGTGGCCCATAAAATAAAGGTTGTATATTCCTCACTTTAGCTCAATCGGCTACTTTGTGCGAGTGGCAACAAATCTTCTGCATCCCAGCCATCAGTGCTTGGCGTGCTAGCCACACTGGCTGGATGCGTGTCGTCGTGGGGGGGGGAGGCAACGAAAGGTCAAAGGTCACCCTGTGTCAACCAGCGTTGTGTGACGCACTGGTCGTCGGGGTGGGCCGTTTCGACCCGTAAGCATGGTTCTCGGTTCATCCCATGCCGAGAATGGGTATGCGGGTCGTAGGTTACTCACCTGTACATCGCGAGTACATGTCTGGCCTTGCGCCTTACTGCGAAGTCGCAGTGGAGAATTTCTCGACCACGGTATAATAAGGCTGCCAATTTGACGCAAATTTCGGCGTCTGATTTGCTGACAATGTGGGATTATAAAAGTAGATGGGGTCCCCAATGCAAAGGACTGGACCTTTGCGCGTCTGTCATAGAGGCGTTTATTACGCGCTCGTGCCACTTTAGTGTTTTGTTGCATCGCAACAAATGCCTGGTGCAAGCGTTCAGTGGCGTGCGTTACTGGATCGTCAGCGTATGACAATCGTCGGGGCCGCAGTAGCGTGTCAAGTGGTAGCACTGCGTCTCTAACGTACGTCAGGAAGAAGGGGGTGAATTGTGATGATTCATTGACGGCTGTCCGATATGCGAATAAGACCGAGTTGATCTTTGTATCCCAATCTGTGTGATCCCGATTAATGTAGCACGCGAGCATATTGGCAAGCGTGCGATTAAAGCGTTTGCATTGTCCATTGGACTCAGGGTGATAAGGAGAGACTTTGATGTGGGTGATCCTAAGCAATGTGGTCAGTCGTGTGATGAGCTCGTTAATGAATTCGCCTCCGTTATCGGTTAAGATAGACCGAGGGCATGAGTGACGAGGAATGAAATCGTCAACAATAATGCGTGCTACGGTAGCAGCGCTCTTATCTAGCATTGGGTATACTTCAGGCCATGAGGTGTAAAGGTCCA